CCCAGCAGTTCCCTCGGGTTTCATGACGGGCTTCTACGACCCCTCGCTCTCCAGGAACTTGGTGGGTGTGAGGCCGCTCGTGAGTAGTCACGTGGGTGTGTGGATTGAGCCTTCTGGCGAGACTGCGGTTTGTGTCGACGGGGACACGTACGCGCCTCTAGCCACCTTTACCACTGAGCCGGGCTCTAGTCTCTACACACTTCACACTGGCCCCCGAGGGCAGCAGCAGCAGCAGCCGCAGCAGCACCTGCTGCCCCCGACCCCTGCTACTGCCCCCCGTCAGGTTCTCGCGTCTCACTAGGTTGCCGCGTCTCACCAGGTAGCTATGTCTTGTCAGGTTCTCGTGTCTGGTCCGGTTGTTGCGTCTTGCTCCTGCCGGTCGCTTGCTCACCCCAGCGTTCTGTGGCACCACCGCATGGGGCACCCGTCCATTCCTTGCTTGTGTGCTATGTCTAGTCAACGTCTTGTCTTAGGCCTCCCGCGTGTCTTGCCGTCGTTGCCGCCTTCGCTTGCACCACCTTGCGGTCCCTACATCGAGGGTCGGCTGCGCGCCACCCCTTACTCCTCCTCCCTTCGTCCGGCCACCGAGCCCTTCGAGACTCTCCACTTGGACGTCTGGGGCCCCGTCCCTCGCCCTAGCTCTGAGTGAGAGAGTTTCTTTCTGGTGGTCGTTGACGACTACTCTCGCTACACCACAGTGTTCCCCTTGGCGAAGAAGTCTGAGGTGACTTCTATGCTGATCCGGTGGTTACTTACCACTGCGGACACGCGTGGTCGTGGTGTCAGCTGTCTTCACTTCAGACCCTGCGAGAGGAGGTGCTCGTGTCGAGGACCCTGGGGGTGCTACCTCTGGAGGTGTTGGAGTTGGAGCTGAGACTGTGCCTGCACGAGGCCCTGGTGCTGGGGTTGCTGGAGTTGGAGCTGAGCCTGTGTCTGCGGGAGGTTCTAGTCTTCGGGGAGCTGGTGTTGGTAGAGCTGTCCCTGGGGGTGCTCGGACTGGGGGTGCGAGTGCGCCCTCTACGGGACCTGGAGGGTCTAGGACTGGCCGCGTTGCTGCTGGTGGTGCTGGCTCTGGGGGTGGTGCGACTGATGTGCTGGAGAGCGGTCCTGGGTGTTAAGATATGAGAATGAATGACTAGCAAATGAACAAACAAGCAAGATATAAGTCAGCCCTTACCCTAAACCTAGGACAAAGTAAATGCACCTAGACTAGAACAATACAAACTATATCATTATAGTTTGACACACCCCCATAGTCTAGGTGACGGTAGTCCTGCGGAATGCAACACATATCTCAGGGTGGATCACGAAGTCACCACACAATCTGAGAGCAAGGGTCATAGGACCAGTCAGCAAGAGCAAGGAAAGGTCACAAGACCGGTCTGCAACAACAAGAATCAAGCAAGGGATGCAACTCAGGGTGGATCACAACGTCACCACACAGTCTGAGGGCAAACAAGGGGCCACAAGACCAGTCCACATGCATTGATATAGATATATATAGGACGAGATACACGAGTACAAGAGAAAGCATCTCTACGCAAGCAGGTGAGGGCCTGTAGACACAAGGCCTCACTAGGTGCAGAAGCGCTGGTGGGCACAAGGCGGCAACGCCTTGGTGAAGATATCTGCAGTGTTGGCCTCAGAGACCACACATACCACGCGGGCTTGGCCACACTGCTGAAACTCGCGGAGAAGGAAGTAACGAAGCTGGATATGTGCTTCACCTTCCCAACCAGTCGGGGCTCCTCGCACAACAGGACAGCAGACATGTTGTCGGCGAACAAGACTGGGGGAGAGCGAGGTCGCTCACCAAGGTCAGTGAGGAGGAAAGACAGCCAGCGAAGCTCCTGTGCGGCCATGGCCGCAGCGTACACCTCTGCCTCACAGCTGGAACTAGAGACTGACGACACCCGAATCGACCTCCACGAAACAGCCCCGGTCCCAAGACTGAAGCAGTAACCCTGTGTAGACCGTAGCGACTCTGCGTCGTCGGCCCATGACGAGTCCGAGTAACCTATAAGTGTAAATGGCTGCTTCCCTCCAAGGACAAGTCCCATGCCTGATGTACTCGCCACATACTTCGCCACCCCCTTAGCGGCGTACCAGTGGGAAGGTCGGTGTCTCCTAGGCGCATCAAAGCGCGCAAGGACGCTAAGAGGGTAAGCTAGGTCTAGGCGAGTACAGGTCATCAGGTACATGAGACAACCTACCAGCTCAGGATATGGACCGCTGGACTCAAATGACTCATCCGAAGGTGGAGCCGTGAGCCCATGATCCACAGCAAGAGGGGTGGGCTGTACCTTGGAGAACGGGAAGCGAAACCGCGTGAGGATCTGCTCGACCATATGCGACTGCGTCAGCGTAATGGTGCGAGCTGCCCTGTCCCTGGTGATCTGTAGGCCAAGGTAGCGCTGCAGCTCTCCAAGTTCAGTGCAAGTGTGTCTCCTCTGCAGTTCCTCCTTCACGGAGGCCAGTGCGCGTCGGTCGGGAGTGGCGAAGACCAGGTCGTCAACGTAGACCAGAACAAAGAACGGGGCCGAGCCACGGCGGACGAACAGCGACGCGTCGGCAGAGGACGGAAAGAAGTCAAGCGCTGCAAGAGTCGTACGTAGCATGTCGTGCCACTCGCGGGGAGCCTGGCGCAGGCCGTAGGCCGGTCGACACAGCTGCCACTGGGTCCCAGGAGGGAAAGAGCCAGTGAAGCCACGCGAACGACGCAGCCAGATCTGCTCGTGCAGGCTCCCCTGAAGGAATGCAGTGGAGAAGTCCAAGGAGTGCAACTCGTAGTCGCGCTGTGCTGCAATATGCAGCAACACCCGAAGAGTGGTCATCTTCGGGGTGGGAGCGAAGGTCTGAAAGAAGTCTACCCCCTCTTTCTGACAGAAGCCTCTCGCCACGTAACGCACCTTGAACACGGGTGGTGCTCCAGGCGGCCGCTTCACCTTGTAGAGCCACATGCCACCGACAACGTTCGCCCCAGGTGGTGGGACGGCGTCGACGTAGGTGCCTGTGCACCTATAAGATGCCATCTCTGCCTCCTCAGCTGCTATCCAGTACGAAGCCCAGGGTCCCGAGACTGCCTCATCGTGATTGCGAGGGATCGGGATGTCAAGGGCGTCTGGATCCCCCTCAGGGGCAAGCAACATGGCGCAGAGATGAGGAACAGCGGCCGCAAGGAAGCCAAGCTCGAACTGCCTGTCCTCGAGGACCCCCAGAGGAAAAACAGGAGCATCCCCAGAGAACGGAGAACGAGCAGGTCCACTCACCAAGTGAGCGGTGTAGTCAATGCGGTGGGAAGAGGCAAAGTCAGCGACAATGGTAACAGACGACAGAGGTGCAGTCGGGTGCGTGACCAACGCGGACAATGCACGGGTACGAACATGAATAACACTAGGGTACGAGACAGGCTCGGGCGTTACGGACGTGAGCGGGAGGAACGGGATCCCACATGATCCGAACCTACTGTATTATTCCGGATATAGGACCCGCCGGTAAAAGGGTCCCCCGGGACTCTCTATGGGGTACTGGGACTCTTATTTTGGTATCAAAATGTGAGGACCCCCCTTTTGCCCCTAAACAATATAAGACCCCCCTTTTACATACAGTAGTCGTAAATTCAATTGCGCGTCAGCTTTTATAGGCATTAATTCGATTTCTGACACGCTGTATGTGTCAGATTCTGATTCTGACATGTTTTTGTGTGTCAGACGCGAATTCTGACACAAATCTGACGCGCCGCTCGGGTGAGATTTCCAAACGAGGGGTGTTTTTCGTTACCGAATATAAGCCACCCACCCTCCCCCCCCCCCCCCCCCCCCCCCCCCCCCCCCCCCCCCCCCCCCCCCCCCCCCCCCCCCCCCCCTTAAAACGAACAGTGCTTGGTAAATCCCATAACATTGTTAGACAAATAAGCACACCCGGGTCTTAAAAAAATGTATGCCAACTATATGTCCACCCTAGAATTTTTTTATGCATTTTTAGAAATTCCCCCGGGTCCTATAGCCGGAATAATACGGTAGGTGATACCATGTCAGGAACTGAATTGTGATGTCACTAAGGTTGGTTAGGGTACATAAACCTAACCTTAAATATTGTACTCCATATGACACACATCACTAAGACTATAACATTTGACAATGACAACTAAGGTTATTCTCCGACATGTTAGGCTTTTTCCAGTTGGTTGTTGAGCAAGCAAAGGAGCTTCTAGAAGCAGTGATCACCCATCCATCTGTACCAATCGCATAAGCAGTGATCGTATTGTTCATCTGGCGAATAGATTTAAAGCGACGGGCAACTTTTGGCAGTGTTGGGTTCAGAAGTTTTTTTTTTGAACCAGGCTTGCCAGCGCGAAAGTGCTGGCTGGCGAAAACCAAGATTTCGTGCGGACACTTTCCATCCGCAGTAACAGTTCGCCAGGGTTCTGGGTTTTGGGTGGCAAATGTGCACCGTCGCTTTAAAGCTGAAGTATACATTTGTCAGCAGGGTTCAGGGTTTAGGGAGTGAGCCTCACAGGTTTGGGGCAACTTTTCAAATTTCAAAAGTTTTTGAACTCTTCCTTTCAAATGTATACCGCAGCTTTAACACCATGTGTCCCCCATGTGCCTTCTATCTTATGGGTATATGAGAGATAAAATAGTAGTGAATTGAGGCACGGCTCTCTCCTTGTATCGCTCTCTGTACACTTCATGGCATGCACGACACGTACTCCCAATCGCATGGCTTTCGCTTCTCTGTTCGTTCCCAACCCCCATTTTTCGTTTTCCTCCACCATGCTCACCCCTCTCTCGTCGCCTGCCGCACTGCTGCTGCTGCTCCTGATGCTTCAGCTGTCTCCGCCGCGCATGTCTGCTGTCGCATCACGCCAACGCCCGTCCTTACCAACCACAGTAGACCTGGACGCAGCTATGCGAAACGAAGGCACCTCGCGCGCAGTAGGAGAGACGTCGGACGCTCAAAGCGAGGAATCCGGTGATCCGTTGGGCGAGTCCCCCGCGATGGTGCGAATACGGCCGAGCGGGAGTGTGCTGTTCGCCGTGGTGGGTCGCACGCATTACGCCTTCGATGTCTACTCCGCTGCGCTGCCGCCCCACTTCTTCCGCCATCCGCTTGCAGAGCCCCCAACTTGCCCGCCCACACTCACGCTGCCGCGGTTGGCATAGAGAGCGCAGAGAAGACAACATGTGGTGCACGCAACGGAACAGGTGTGGGATGCCCCGCAAGAGGCGGAAGCGACTCTAGTAGCGGGGGTCAGGAGCGGGTGGCGGAAGGCGGAAACGAAGCGCGGGCGGATTGCGGGAACGGAGGGGGAAAGAGGACGGGGCGTGGGACGATAAGCGAACGGCGGCACACTGCGACGAGCGGCAGCGCCAGCCACAGCGCGCAATTTACTTTGGGCGTGAGGAGCATACGCGATGGCACGGGGGTAGAGGTGGCGCGCGAAGAGGCAGGGGGAGGGCGCGGGGGGGAGCTCACGAGGGGCGATGGCGCGGAGGGGCGCGGGGGTAACGACTTGGGGCTGGTGTTCGTGTCAGAGGCGGAGGACGGGGCGGGGAACTTGATGTTCTGTGAAGTGGCGCAAGGGTTGGGGGAAAGAGGCCGGGGGGAGGAGGAGGTTGTTGCGAAGGTGACGGGTGGAGGAGAAATGGAGGAGCCGATGAAGGGCGGTGCGGTGGGCAGCGCAGTGGCGGAAGGGGAGGATGATGCGGGGCTGCACGAGAGGGTGCAGGCGATGCAGGCTCAGTTAGGGAAGCTGGCAGTGGAAGCGGAGCGGCAGGGGGGTGTGCAAGAGACGGAAAGGCGGCGGATGTTGGCGGGAAATTACGGTGATGGCGGGGAGGAGAGTAAGGTCTCTGTGCTGCGCGCGTGCCAGCACAGGCGCGGCAAGCAGAGGCAGGGGGGAGAAGGGATGCAAGGGGGAGAGGGGGGTCAGGGCAGCTCGCACAGCGAGGAGGGGTGTGAGGCTGTACAGTTGACGCAGGACGTGGCGTGGCATGACCGGCCTGCCATGGTCGCTGCTGCTGGTGGCCCCTACCTCGTCTTTGCACGCACACAGCCCAGCCACCCTGCAGCACAGGGGGGGATGGCAGGCGCATGGGCAGGCGGGCAAGCAGAGGGAGGAGCGGCGGATGAGGGGCATGCGGCGCGGTTGAGCTGGAGTGCAGTGCACGTGCAGCACATGGGGGGCAACGGCACCACTACAGCTAAGATTCGCATTCGCTGTGTTTCTTTTTTCCCCCACAGCAAAGTGTTCGTAGGGTCTGTTGCTGTTGCAGACTCGATGCTCTCTAGTTTCCTCCATACACTGCTCTGAGTATACAACCAATTAGCTTGCTCATTGTTCCTCCCCTTCCACCCCCCCCCTCTCCCTTCCTGTTCCCCCCCAGCACTGTGTGACACCCCCTCATCTCGCTGACTTCTCCCCCAGCGTCTCCCCCTCGGGGCGCTGGCTCGCTGTTGCCTCTGCTCCTGCCCACTACTCTGCTCACCGCACGTATGCCAGCTCCACTGCTGACATGGACACGGGTGGCGCAGTGAACATGCAGCAGAGGGACCTACTAGCGCTGCCCACTGCCATCCACGTGATGCGCCTGCCGGACGGCAAGCATCGGCAGGAGGTGGTGGCGCAGGGAGGGTGGCCGGCATGGGGCGAGGACGACTCGACTCTGCTCTTCCACCGCCTCATGCGCGCGAGAGGGCAGGCGGGGCGTGGTGCTGATGAGGGGGCGCAGCAGGGGGAGGGCGGTGAGGGGTGGTTCGGTGTGTTCCAGGTGCAGCTGGACCTGCCTGGAGAGAACCAGGGGGAGGTGCGGCAGAGGGCGGAGGGTGAGGAGGCTGGCTTCAATGGTGCAGCTTCCAAAGCACAAACAGATTCAGAAACCACTGCAGGGGCGAGTGCAGGAGTGAGTGCAGGGGAAGGGAAGGCATGGATAGGGGTGGGCAGGGAGGAGCGCCTGACACCGCCCGGGCTGCACGCCCTCACGCCCTCCTCCGCTGCCCCTTCCTCATGCGGCCCCTTCATCGCCCTCACCACCCGCCGGCCCCCCTCGCCCTTCCGCCACGTGGAGCTGCTTCACCTGCCGTCGCGCCAGCTGTACATGCTGACTCAGCACATCCGCCCGTCCGCCAATCACTACACGCCGTCAGTGGCGCCGGACGGGTCGCGAGTTGCGTACCACCGTTGCCGGTGCGCAGGCGAGGATGGTGGTGATGCGGAAGTTTTAGCAGAAGACGGTGCATCAGTTCCAGAGGGCAGCGAGGGGGCAGGCAGCAGCACAGAAACAGCAGAAGTGCAGAAACAGGAGTCACACCGAGCACTGTTAGCCCGACCCTCTCTCACACTCTCACAACCCGTATCCCCTCAGCACGCACACACGAGCTGCACGGACTGCCACGGGTACTACGTGGAGCGCATCGCCACACCCTTACCGCCCTCAACGCCCTTCACCCTCATCCGCACTGCAGGCCTCTTCCCCGCTCTCTCCCCGGACGGCCGTCTCCTCGCCTTCATCCGTGCTCTCGGCGGCCCCGGTGCGGGTGTGTACGTGGTGCCGGCAGATGGCAGTGCAGCGCAGCGGCAGGTGTTCCAGGGCCCTGCGTTTGGGCTGGCGTGGAACCCCATGGTGCCCGGGGTGCTGTACACGAGTGCAGGGCACGGGTTTGCGCCGGGGGAAGCAGAGGTGCATGTGGTGGAGGTGTCAGGGGTGGCCGCATGGCTGTTCCAAGAGGGGCGAAAGGGGGAGGGGAAGGCGGAGGGAGGGGCGGGAGGGGGGGCTGAGGGTGAGAGAGAAGAGGAGGACAGTGGCGGTGGCGGCAGCAGCAGCAGCAGCAGCAGCAGCAGCAGCAGCAGAACTGGTCGGGGCAGAGTGAACGGTGTGTCGTGGCGTCGCCTCACTCTCCCCGGCACACGCAACAACGCCTTCCCAGCGCCGTCCCCATGTGGGAGGTGGATAGTGTTCCGGTCGGCACGCACAGGGCACAAGAACCTCTTCCTCATGGCCGCTCAGCATGGCGAGCGCGGCGGTGTGTGGCAGGTGAGTGATGGGCCATGGACGGACACCATGCCCGCATGGGACCCGTGGGGCCGGTGGATCGTGTTCAGCTCCGATCGCGGTGAGGGCGAGGGCTTTGCGCTCTATGCCATGCCCGCCGTGCTGCCCACAAGCAATGTTGCAACTCGTGCTGCTACTGCTTGTCGTGGTACTGCTGTTGATGGCGATGGTGCTTCTGGTGGTGAAAGGGACGGCGAGAGGCAGGGTGGCCGTGACACCCAATCAGCTGGGCAGGTTGAGCAGAAGCAGCAGCAGCAGGCAGCAGAGCAGCAGCAGGGGGTGGTGCGTCTGTGGCACAATGGGCCGTGGGGGCGAGTCAACCATGCTTCCTTCAGCCCTGACGGGCACTTCCTTGTTGTCACTGCTGACGTGGCAGGCATGTCTGCAGACCCTGTGGCATACCCACAGCAGTTCCAGCCATACGGCGAGTTATTCCTGCTGCAGTTGAATCGTACGAATCACCCGCCGCAGACTGTTGCTGCTGATGAGCGCAGGGGTGGCAGCGCTGCTGATACCTCCAGCAATGGCAGCAGCAGCAGTGGTGGTGGAGGCAGTGCAGTGGATGGAGTGTGGGGTGAGGAGCAGTTGAGTGTCAAACAGTGGGAGCGGCTGACGTTCAACCCGTATGAGGACGGCACACCCTCATGGAGCCAGCACACGCTGCACCCCGCACCGCTGCACACTCAGAGGCACCGAGTGACGTGTGAGTTCGATGATGTGGGGGCTCTGACAGGTCGTGTGCGTGTGGAAGAGTGATGGTGGCACGTATGGCAAGTGGAGAGGTATTGGGCTCATCTGTACATACTTGCGTGCTTGCAGTTGCAACCATGTACGCCAGCACGTGCGTGCATTAGAGGGGCGTGATGGGAGTTAGCACTGTTTGTTTCATTGTGGCTTGTTTTTAACAAATCTTGTACATATACCCAGTGGAGTGACCTGGTGTTCAACTTGACTACACTCGGAAGAACCGTGCCTGGCATACGTGTACCAGCAGTGACCATTGACAAGGAGACGTTGGAGCAGTCAATACATTGACTGAGTAAAAAATCAAGTGCCATATACAGTACGTCCCACAGGGCTGGGCTGTGCAAAGCTCGTGCATGTACATTCACTTGCAGTGCCCAGCACTACTGGCAGGTCCTCAAATCATCTTCTCAAACTTGTCTAGCCGCTGGATGCGCTTCAAACTCCACAGCGCTCCCACACCAAACACACCTGCCATGCCATGTCCCGGCATAAACTGTTACTAACACTTGCCTCCAAGAAGCATGCACATACTGCACTACTAGCATGCACAACGTACAATCCGTGGCGTTCCAAAAGAACACAGCAGAGCTCACAAAGGCTTAAGAACACACCTTTCTGAGAACAGGACAAAAAACTGCCGCAAGAAGCAAAAAAAAAAGGGCATGCAAGAGAGCGGAGGGCGAAGCAAGAGGTGTTGGGTGGGACCTGCGAAGCAGAAGCAGGCAGTGGCGGGGCCGTCAATGGCGGCGGTGGTGAGGGAGACACCCATGTTGAGCAGCGCTGCTGCCGCCACCGTGTTTATCGTCGCCACCTGCATTATTCCCGCCCTCCTTGCCGCCCTCTCCGCCTGAAGGAGAGAGAAGGGAGGGAGAGTGGGGGAGGAAGAAGGGGTAGCGAAAGGGGAAATCGAAAGTGGGGAGAGAGAGGAGTGAGAGGGGGGAATGGGAGGTAGAGGGGGAAGTGTGCAACAGGCACCGGGAAACACAGCTTAGAGGTTCCAATCGATTAGAAGCAACAGCGACGAGCGCGCTAAGGTGTCATGTCCACGCGCCCTTCCGCAGTGCCACTGAGCATGCAGCAGGCCTGACATCTCACCTCGAGCACGCGCACGCGCAGCTTGAGGTCACCGTTCTCTATCTGCTGCAGCAGGTCGTCCATGCGCTGCACTCTTATCGGCATCGATACCGTGGCGTCCGTCACCTGCCATTGCGTATGAAGCACGGCCAGAGGCATGGCATGGCATGGGCATGAGGGTGGGCAAGAGCAGCACACACACAAACACATGGCTGCAGGATTGGGAACGAGTGAGACCACAAGGGGACAAGTCGGAATGCACAGAAAGCATGCCGTCTCTGCATGCAGGAGAGTGATGTGTGCCACCAGATAACTCCGAAGGAGCAAGAAAATCGTTCAGCAGCGAGTGTTGGGACCAGCATGCGTGCGCGCATGTGTGTCTGCAGCATATGTGAGCATATGTGTGCATGCGTGCGTGCGTGCGTGCGTGTGTGCGTGCGTGCGTGTGTGCGTGCGTGCATGGTGACAGGGGTGGAGTCTGACACACACCTCAGTGGCCTGCTTGGTGAGTTGCTGCACCACGTATTCCTGCCCTCTCTGTGCATCCCGAAGGTCCAACAGCTCCTGCATGCGTGTAGAGAGCGGACACGGGGTAGCATGGTGGATGGTACAGTACAGAGGTTGGCAGAGTGGATGGCCCAGCGGATGCGTGCTAGAAAAAAAGAGCATGATGGCGCTTTCTTTGCAGGAAGTACCGGACATGCAGGACGAGGGGCAGAGAGTTACACAGGCAGGTCACAGAGGTACTGACTGGCATCGCTGCGTGGCTGTTACCTGGGCGTAGGGTGCAGCGATCCTAGCGAAGGAGAAGTTGGGGTCCAAGTACGCTCCCACCCCTGGACGTTGCGACAGGTGCGCGCAAAGGGGCGAGGGGAGGGGAGAGGCATGCGGGAAGACATGAGACGGCGTGAGACTGCTGAAGGTGCATTCAGTGGATAATCTAAGCTCCCTGTCCCTGTATACACTGCCACCCGTGCCACACCACCACCTCCCCTCCTCTCCCAAGCACATCCACGCCCTGCAGGGAGCAGGGTGCGAGGCAGCGACGCACCTTCGAGGGTGGAGAAGGCGCGCAGCACAAAGGTGAAGGTGGCGGGGAAGCGGAACGGCTGGTCCACTGCGATCGCAAACAGGTCCTGCCATGGGGGAGAGAGGCGGGGGCGGGGGGCGATGGGGAGGTGGGTAGAAGGAGAGATGGGTGGGTTTTATGGCAGGGTTGACGGGCACCGATATGGAAACACGGAGGCCGGCTGGTACATGTCATGCATTGCATGGCATGCATGCCTGGCGTGCTAGAGACCACATGCCTGGCATCCAAGAGCAGCTTACGATCACTGCTGTTGGAATACGTACTGTCGTTTACCAATCCCATCCCTCCTCCCTGTCTCTCTTCCCAGTGGATAAGCACTTCTTTCCACCACTCCCTCCTCCCCTCCCTCTCCTCCCCTCTCACTCTACCCCTCCACCCTTCACTGCATGCCCATTTCCTCCGTGCGCACCTCGCCAATGGCGGAGATGGTAGCGTCCCTCTCGAACTTGGGCCCTGTGAGGTTGTTCAGGAAGTACTGGATGGAGCGCCGCACCTGTGCCGTGCCATGCCATGCACGCACGCACACACATGCACACAACACGCATGCCAACAGGGACACATTCGCACACACGAAGACGATGGTGTTGTTGGTCACGAGGAGCGTGAAGAGTGAAGCGGGTGGAGGCAGAGAGAGCTAGAGAAAGAGAGTTGGGCAGGGACAGAGGAAGGTGTAGGCGGTAGCTAAATGGGAGAAAGGGAAGAAAAAGAGGTCCATGCAACAAGACCAAGAAACAGCAGAAACACTAAAGCGTGCAGCAAGAATCCTGAGACTTCTCAGAACAGCAAACAGGTATGAAATTGCAGATAGAAGCACATGCGCTGCAAGCACCAGCGTGGCAGCGCGAGGCGAGGCATGCCCAAAGCAGCACGCACCGAGTTGAGGTCTCCAGTGGGCACAAGCGCGCCCAGGTCGACGAGCGACTGCATGACCTTCTTGGCGTCCTTCTCGTACACGGCGTAGAACATGGCGGTGAGGCGGTCCTTGGTGAAGGCGGGGATCTCCCCCATCATGCCAAAGTCGTAATACACCAGGCGGTCCCCCGCTACCACCGCCAGGTTGCCCGGATGCGGGTCCGCGTGGAAGAAGCCCGTGCGCAGGATCTGATGGGGGAACGGATGGGAGGAGAGAGGGAAGAGGGGGAATGGGAATGGGGTGAGGGAAAGGAGACGGTTAGAGGGGGAGAGGGGAATGGGATGAGGGGAATGAGAGGGAGAAGAGTGGGAAGAACGAGCACTGGGAGTCAAGGCTGGGTCTAATTGAATGGATTGTTGGAAGAGCGTGTGAAAGATGGTCAAAGGGCAAGGCAGCATACAGGTACCCCTGTTGCCCACCTACACGAGGCACACCCCCCCCACACGCACTTCCTCCTTTCCCAAATACAGAAGGTTACCACCTCCGCGACCTGAGCGATACCCCCAACCCATCCCCCCCAGCCGCTTCCCCCGGTGTGCCCCACCTGAATGAGGTAGCCCTCGATGGCTCGCTGCGCCACAAGAGGGCGGTTGACGCCGGCCTCGTCCAGGCGTGTGATGTCGGAGATCTTGATGCCGGGCAGGTACGAGAGCGTGAGCACCTTGCGCGTGCTGTAGTCCCAGAACACCTCCGGCACCAGCACCCACGCGTACCGCCGGAAGTCCCTCCGGAAGCGGTCCGCGTTGCGCCCCTCGTTCAGGTAGTCGATCTCCTGGTATAGCACGCTGACAGGGGGGGAGTGGGACGGCAGGGATGGGGGGGGGGACAGGTGGGATTGGTTACAAGGGCGGGGAGATACGAGGGGGGAGGGCAGGTGGAGAGGAGGAGATAGGAAAGGGGGAAGTTGAGAGACATTGTAGGAGAAAGAGCAGGAGAAGGGCATTGCTCGTGCGGGCATTACAGATTGTGGGAACGAGGCACGAGAGGCCTGCAGTGTGCAAGGACGAGGGTGGGCAAGACAAGGCAGGGCATGTGATGCAGGTGGATGGATGCAGTCAGGGAGCAGGGAATGCAGCACTAGCATGGATCGCACACTAAGGTTTGGAGCACAGTGGCGGGTTTGCATACGTGGAGACAGGGTGGTTAGGTGGGTGGGGTGGGGTGGGACTCACGTGCAGCACTCCTCGTAGATGCCGACCCAGTCCCTGGTGGGCCCTCCCAGGTTCTCACTGTTCTGAAAGTACTCACACACCAACCGCATGTTCTCTGTTACCACGTGCCAGCAGGGGGGTGCGGGAGGGAGGAGGGGCGCGGGGAGAGAGGGGACGGGGAGGGGGGAGATGAGAATGGGCAACACATAGCAGGAATGTTGTGCGTGTGAGTGTGGAGGGCAGCGAGGCAGCATGGCGAGCAGCATCCGGCGCACACCATTCAGCATCACCCCTCAAAGAAAGACCACCACCGCCCCTCCTTCGTAGCCCCTTCTCCACCCCACAAACACCCACGCCACAGCGGCCAGCCCAGCAACCGGCACAGAACAAGCCCCCAACAGCGACCCCCAGCGCACGCACCGAGGTCGATGTCAAAGAGCTGTTTGAGCGCGGGGCGCTGCACCTTGACCACGACCACCTCGCCCGAGTGCAGCACCGCGCGGTGCACCTGCCCCAGCGACGCCGCTGCGATGGGCGTTTCTTCAAACTCGCGGAACAGCTCCCCCAGCGGCTGCCCCAGCTCCGCCTCAATCGCTGCGCGTGCCTTGTCCCCGGAGAACGCGGGCACGCGGTCCTGGAAGGGGGGGGGAGGGGGAGGGGAAGGCGGGAGTGTGGGGAAGAGTTGAGGGTGGCGACGGGTGGAGGGAGGAGGTGGGGGGAGGAGGGGATGCAGCACGGGGGGAAGTCCAGCAGGCGGCGGGAGCGCGACGGGCGCATGAGA